AACCAGAAATGTGACCCCAGAGTTTAACCTCCCAGGCTTGGGCATTGATCTTTGAGAGGTGCCCTTTTTCTCCTTTTTAATACAATCAGTGCCATATATCGGTGTCACTGAGTCTCTCTCCTGCTCTAGTTCTCCATATCTCCTGATTTTTGTCTTGTGGGGTCTTGGAGTCAGGAAGACCTGAGTTCAAATCTTGCCTCGGACATTTATTAGGTCTGTGACCCTTGGCAAGTCACTTAACCTCTCTCTTCCTTATTTATAAAATAGAGGTAAGAAAAGCATCTACTTCACAGGGTTATTTTGATGATCAGATGAAAGATGTTAGCTATTATTATCTGGAGATGTCCGTCAACAAGCATTCATTAAGTGCCTTATGTGCCAGGGGCAGCGAGGTGGTGCAGTTGATAGCGCTTATAGTCAGGAAGACTCAATTTCGGGAGTTCAAATCTGACATGAGCTAGGCACTTCACCCTGTTTGCTTCAGTTTCCTCATCTGTAAAATGATCTAGAGAAGGAAATGGCAAACCACTCTAGTATTTCTGCCAAGAAAACCCCAAATAGGGTCACAGAGACTTGGACACGACTGAAAAATGACTTTAAAATGTACCAGACACTGTGCTAATATTGGGGATACAAGGAAAGACAAAGACAGTCCCTCTCTCTAGGAGTTCACAGTCTAGACAACAGGCAAACAAAATGTAATATAAATATTATATTATTATAAATATCATAATACAAGTAAGCAATACACAGGATAAATTGGAGATAATCCACAGAGGGAAGGCACTAGCATTAAAGGAGATTAAGAAAGGCTTCATGAAGAAGGTAGGATTTTAGCTAAGTCTTGAAGGAAGCCAGGGAAGCCAGGAGGCAGAGATGAGCACGGAGAGAATGCCAGGCTTAGGGAGAGCCAGAGAAAATGTCCCGAGTCAGGACACAGAATGTTATGTGTGAGGAACAGCCAGGTCAGTGTTACTAGATCAGAGTATTTTGAGCCAGGAGTGCGGAAGAGAACTTGGGGGAGGGGAGTAAAGTATAAGAAATCTGTAAGGGTAGGAAGCCAAATGAAGGATTTTATATTTGATCCTGGAGGTAATTGGAAACCACTAGAGTTTATTGAATAGGGCAGGTGACATTGTCAGAACTGCAATTAGGAAGATTAATTTGACAGCCGAGTGGAGGATGAACTGGAGTGGGGAGAGGTTTGTGGCAGGGAGATCAAACAACAGGCTATTACAATAATCCAGATGTGAAGTAATAAGGGCCCAGACCAGAATGGTGGCAATGTCTGAGGAGAGAACAGGGCATATATAGAAGATGTTTTGAGGGTAGAATCAACAGGACTAGGCACAGATTGGATGCAGCGGGTGGAGTAAAGGGGGAGTGAGAGAAAGAGAGGTATCAAGGATGACATCTAGGTTGTCACTCTGGTGGGTTAAGAGGGTGATGGTGCCCTCTACAGTAATAAGAAAGTTCTAAAGGGGAGAGGGTCTTTGGGGAAAGATAATGAGTTCAATTCTGGACATGTTGAATTCAAGATGTTTATGGGAAATCCAATTTGAGATGTCCAATAAGCAGTTGGACATGTGAGGTTAGGAGAGTGGTTAGGGCAGACAAGTATGTAGATCTGAGAATTGCCAGCAAAGACATGATAATTGAATCCATGAGGCCTGTTAAAATCACCCAGACAAATAGTATAGATGAAGAAGAGAAGGCCTAGGACAGAGCCCTGGGGAACAGTGTTAGCAGATGTGACCTAGATAAAGATCCAGCAAATGAGACTGAGAAGGAGCAGTCGGACAGGTAGGAGGAGAACCAGGATAAATTAGTGTCACAAAGACCTGAGGAAAAGAAAACAATTAATGGTGTCAAAGGCTGCAGAGAAGTCAAGAAGGATGAGGATTGAGAAATGGTCATTAGATGTGGCAACTGCGAGATTGTTGGAAACTGTAGAGAAGTTGGAAGCCAGACTGTAGGGAGTTAAGAGACTGAGAGGAAAGGAAGTGGAAGTATCAGTTGTGGGTTGGCCTTCTCAAAGAAAATAGCCACGGAACGGAAAAGATGTATGGAATGATAGCTAGTGGGGATAGATGGATCAAGTAAGGGGTTTTTTGAGGACAAGGGAGACATAAAAATGTTTGTAGGTAACAGGGAAGCAGCCAACACACAAGGAAAAATTGAAAACAAGTGAGAGTAGGGAAAGGTGAGGAGGAAACAAGTGAAGGAGGGGGAAATCTGCTGGAAAAGATGGAATAGGATGGGATCACTTGAGAATGTAGAAGAGTTAACCTTGGCAAGAAGGGCCACCTCGTCTTTGTTTAAGACAGGGGTGAAGGAGGAGATAGTTGAGAAATGGCATCTGGGTAAAGTGAGATGTAGAGGAGGGGAGAAGAGGGAGCTCTCAGTGAATGCCTTCAATTTTTTCAATGAAATGTGAGGCAGAGATCTCACCTGAGTGGGTAGGAGAAGGAAGATAGGAACTGGGATGGCTAATGCTCCCCTTAAACTAAGACATTCCACCACCTCATACTGTCTATTGAACTGTAATATGTGGCTAGAGAAAGGGAAGAGTAGGTAACAGATGTATACAAAGGATTCCTTCTCAGTCTTGTCTGCTTCTTGGTATGTCTATCAGTCCTTTCTGAATCAATTATATGCCCTATTCCTCTGCTATTCTATATCCCTGAAGAAGGCCTGAAGTTTCCTACATCAGTGGGTTTACTCATGCTCTTCACATAATTTCAGAACTTAAAGGGGCCTTCAAAATACTTGAACATAGCTCAATATTCCCCCTTAATATTCTCTTCTCTGAGTTAAATATTCCCTCATGCTTCAGAGAATCCCCAAGGCCTTTGACAATCCTGGTTGTTCACTTATGGACGTGCTCCAACTTATCAATGTCTTTTCTAAAATGTGGTGTCCAGAATCAAACCCAGCACCCTAGAAGTGGTCTGACCAGGACAAAGTCCAGTGAGACTCTGTGCTCATTCTTATCATGTTCTCCACTCTCTCCATCAATCAGTACTTTCTCAGGTTATCATCCCAACCTTGTGGGGATGATACCACAGTTCTGATTCCTTGGTGAAATGGTTCGCTATATATAAACTATCCTTTATTCTTGAATTCTTCTCTTTCTTATCCTATCAATGATCATGCCTTGCCACATTCTGGCTTATTCCCACCATCTGCCTCTTTTGCTTCTATATTCATGTGTTTTTGGATGGAGCTAGAAGAAATCATGCAATGCTGATGATTGTGTCCACTACAAATTTGTTATTTAATCTCAAATGACCCCTCATTGTAGCAAGGAAATCTTTCTATTTTACCCTAACTGATTCTCTATACCACTCAACACAGCAGCTGCTCCAAACCTTCTCTTCTCTCCTTAAGCCTCCCACTGTATCACCTGCCCCTACCTTCTCACCTGGGGATTTTGCCTCATACATCACCAAAAAATGAGGCCATTTGCTGAAAGCCCTATCTTTTCTTTCTGTCCTCATCTGACACCCTCCTGACATCATTCTCCACTATTTCCTCCTTTTTTCTGGTCTCTCTTCCACTGATCTCACCTCCTCCTGTCTTCTCCAGTAGGTTGCCTCCATTGTTATTTCTTTTCTCTGTCTCCAAGCTTTAATCTCTCCTTTTCTACTAGTCTTTGCCCTGCTGCCTACAAACATACCCAATTCTCCCTCTACTATTATTGAATAGGGAAGGTGACATTGTCAGAACTGCAATTAGGAAGATTAATTTGACAGCTGAGTGGAGGATGATGAACGGGAGTAGGGAGAGGTTTGTGGCAGGGAGATCAAACAACAGGCTATTACAAGAGTCCAGATGTGAAGTAATGAAGGCCCAGACCAGAATGGTGGCAATGTCCAAGGAGAGAAGGGGAAAAGACAGGAGCTCTTTGGGGGTTAGGGACTCTCATCATCCTCAGCTAACATCCTATATGTCTCTCCTCCCCTTCTCAACTAAACTCCTAGAAAAAAATACCATCTAACTTAGTATCTCTACTTCCTCTTCTATCTGCTTATACATCCTCTGAAATCTGGCTTCTGATCTTATCATTCAACTTAAACTGTTCTTGGTCTTCATCCTTCTTGACTTCTCTGCTGCAATTTGACACTGTTGATGACCTACTCCTTCTTGATATTCTCTCTTCTCTGCACTTTCATCACACTGCTTACTCTTGATTTTCTTCCTACCTGTCTGGCCATTCTTCAGCCTCCTTTGCTGGATCTTCACCCATGTCATGCCCATCAGTGGCTGGTGTAACCCAAAGCTCTGTCCTGGGCTACCTTCTCTTTTCTCTCTAAACTCTCTCAGTGATCACATAGCTCCCAGAAGTTCAATTCTAAATTCTATAGAGATGTGTGTATACATATATAGTGTATATATATAATGTATATTATATATGTATGTGTATGTGCATATGTGTATATATGTACATATATATATATATACACATGTGTGTGCATATCTAGTTTCTCTACGGAGCTCCAATTGCTTGTTAGACTTTTCAAATTGGATATCTCATAGTGCTTAGCACACTGTCTGGCACACAGCAAATATTTAATAAATTCTCGTTGGTGGACTACTTGTTATTTCCCTAAGTTGTAGACACTGTGTCTCTCTTAAGTCAGCCTAAGGTTACATTAACTATTTTGACTGCCATGACACATTGTTGGCACATAGTAATCTGGCAATTCATGCAAACTCTCAGATCTAGTTCATATAAACTCTTATCTAAGCATGCCCTTCATCTTGTGCATGAAGATGATTTTTTTAAATCCATGTGTAAGATTTTACATTTATCACCATTAAATTTCATCTTACTGGATTCATCCCAACATTTTAACATTCAGATTATTTTGGATTCTGACTTTGTCATCCAAAGTGATAGTCATCCTTCCTAACTTTGTGTCATCTGCAAATGTGAAAAGTATTCTATCTATGCCTTTAACAAGTCATTGATTTAAAAAAAAAAAGTGTTCACGAACACAAGGACAAAGAAGATCCTGGCTTGATCCACTGGAGATCTTCTTCTAAGTCGTATTGAACCCTTAGCATTAAAACATCTTCAGACCTGATTGCAGATTCCCCTAAACAAAAAATCAAGTAATATCAGGAACTAGAATGAAGGAAAGCAGCTCATTTACATCAGTATCCTAGAGGTCCAGCTATGTAATGAGCTCTGCTTTTACCTAACTGTCCTATTGTCCAACCTATCTTTCTTGTTATTTAATCTCAAACAATCCCTAACTGTAGCAAGGCAATCCTTCTATTTTCCCTATTTTTCATTTGACTTTGTCCAAATTTAGGTAAACTATATCTGAGTTCTCTTCCTTCTTTTTTCTCCTTTTTCTCCCCTTAAGTCCTTCCAAATTTCCCCTCCATAAATTTCAATCTTTGGCCTTCTTCATATTTCCAAAACCCTCTTAAATCTTTTTTTCATGGTTCTCCTTCTTCAGTTCCTTATATCCTCCAAACAGAATACCCTCCTTCCCTATCTCATTCTTTAAGACCTGATTCAAATGTCAACTCTTCAATAAATCCTAATCATTCCAGTCCAGAAGTGACCTACTATCCTTTGAACTCCCAGAGAACTTTGTTCATACCATTACAGACACTTTGCATGTTTAGCTTGGTATTGCAATGATGTATATATTTTATACCCTTGCTAACTTTTAAGATCCTGGGGAGCAGAGACACCATTATATTCCTCACAGCACCTAACACAGTGCCTTGGCCATAGTAGGCATTCAATAAATGTTTATTAAGGGAATGAATGAGCAAGTGTTCATTAAGTATGTACTGTGTGCTCAGCACATAGGCTAGGTACCTGTGAGGATATAAAAAAGACAATCTCTGCCTACAAAGAGACTAATTAGACTATAATTTTGTTAAACTCCAAATTGCTGAACTGATCTATCTACAAACAATGGCTGGGAGGTCAGAGGGAGATGAAAGGAGAAAAGGGAGAGAAAGTGAGTCAACTCCACCTGGTGATGATCTCTGACAGCAGTCATTTCTCCGGGTGCAAACCCAGCTGTGTCGTTTTGCCATCTGCAATGACAATGGAGCAGAGAGGTGACAGCCAGGACATCTTGATAAGCAGTCTGCCGCCTCTGGTCTTATTGAGGCTTTTGTTAGGCTGTCAGGGAGTGGGATGAAATCTTAAGGAAAAGCTGTTGATAACCATCAAAGAGAGACCAAAGGGTGAGGGCAGGTAGAGGAACAAATGCCACGTGGAGAGGAGCAACCTGGGGAGAGGAAGGAAGGGAGAAAGAATCTTGGACACTTGTCCTCCCTCACTGTCACGCTGACAGGCTGGGAACTGGTGCTGGAGTACTAACAACCCACCGTGAGCATTCCTGAGCTGTAGAGATCTATCTCTTAATAACCCACTGGGGGTAGGGAGAAACCTGGGCCCCGAAAGATAAAGTGCCTCATGTTCCCAATAGCCCTTTTGCCAAAGAAACTTGATTTCTCTTGCACCATGAGTTATTAGCCTGTCTCTGAAGATAATAAAATGATGTATTCTGTCTTTATACTGCACAGCAGGCACATAGAATGGTAACAGGAGGAGGGGCTATGCACAACCTTGGATTCCACCAAGGTGGCTGGCTCTATCAAAAGTCTAAAAATGACTAGAACAGAACATGAATCAGGGCAAACTCCCAAGCTGACTCCTGACCATGGCATTGGGAAAGACATCTGACTTGTCTCTGTTTCTGTGATGGGAAATTAAGATGTGGAATGTGAGATTAGAGGTTGATTAGTAAAGTGTAGACTTTTAGATTCCAAAGGAATGGAGGAAGACTCAAGATAGGACTTTTTTCTAAGGATTCACAGAATCTTAGAGTTGGGAAGGACTTTAGAGATCATCTAGTTCAAAACCACAGCTAGATTTTTTTTTTAGACGATTGGGGTTAAGTGACTTGCCCAGGGTCACACAGCTAGTAAGTGTCAAGTGTTTGGTCTGAGGCCAGATGTGAATTCAGGTTCTCCTGACTTCAGAGCTGGTGCTCTATCCACTGCGCCACCTAGCTGCCCCTTGCAGCTAGATTTTACAATGAGGAAACTGAGGCCCAGAAATTAAAGGACTTCCCCAAGGTCAATCAGTAAATAATAGAGTGATAAAAGTAGAATTAGAATCCAAGTCCCTTGATTTCAAATCTAAGTGTCTTTCCAGTCTCTTTTCTAACACCTTTCCTTTAGAAAGACCCCCATATAAAGTATGCCCATTCTAACATGCATCTTATTTTAAAAGGTAATATCCTCACAAACCCCTGGACCATTCCACCCCATTTTGGTCACCCATTCAAAAATCTAATAGTCATGACAGTCACTAAATTATTTGTATTGAACCTTCATCTCTCATTGGATCATGTTATTGCTTGCTTAGTTCTTGGGGAAGGGAAAGGAGTACAGCTCTCACAGTATCTCATTTGCATTACCTTTCAGTGAATAGATATAGACTACCCAGATAAGCCGCAGACTCCTCTTTTTGCCTCAGTTTCTCCATTCCCATGGTGGTCTCTGGAAGAGAGCTATGATCAAAAGAGACTAAATTTGCAATCAGATTACTGGCTTCTAGTCCTGTTTCTATAAACTAGCAGTGTGACCTTGGGAAAGTTGTTCTCTCCCTCTTCCTCTCCCACGCCCCCATCTCTGTTTCTCTGCAAAATAAGGAAAATGGACTAGAAGATTTCTAAGATCCTTTGCAGCTGTAACACTGATTCTATGGGCATTTGAAGCTAAAGTACCAAGGGGAATAGACAATAGACTTTCTGTCATAGTGTGAATATAGTTGAGACAGAGAGATGAATTAAATTATTTCTATCAGGTTCCCTTTAGTCCAAAAATTACATCATTCTGTAGCTTAAATGTGATTCAATAAACAACAAATATTTATTAAGTACCTACTATGTGCAAGGAGCTAGGCATACAACAACAAAGGTGAAACAGTTCCTGCCCTCAAGAAGCTTACATTCTGTTAAGGGAATAAAACATGAGTCCAGATAAATAAACCAAAAGTATCTAAACATAATTTCAAGAAGAAGAGAAACTAAGAACTAGAGGGATCTGGAAAAGCCTTCATGTAGAAGGTGACACCTAACATGTGCTTTGAAAGAAATGAGGGATTCTGAAAGGTAGAGGAAAGAAGGGGGTACTTCTGTCCCAGACATTGAGGACCACCTGCAAAGAAAGGTAAGGGAATAAGAGATAGACTCTCCTGTATGGAAATAGTGGATCAGTTTGACTGGAATCAAATGAATCATATGAAATTATACTAAAAAGGAAAGCAGGGAGTAGATTGCCAGTGTCAGGCTGAGAATTTTGTATTTTATTCTAGAGGCAATAGGAGACCACTGAAGTTTTTTGGGTAAGGAAGTGATATGATCAAATCTATGTTTTAGGAATGTTTATTTGGGCACTGCCAACTATCTTAGAGCGTTGTGGTTCATACGCTCAGGTCATGAATGGGACAGCCTCTGTCATCTGAGTCCCAAAGTAAGATCTAGGGTGCAGCACCTATGCCTGGAAGCCCATGCAAGCAGAAACTGGGGTGGGGTAAGGTCATCTGCCTCTAAATCTAATGATCGCTACATGAATCCTGCATCTGGACTCCAAATTCTGGCCATCTCTTCTGGCCTGTGAAAATAGAACCTGTGGAGACATCCCAAGAGCTCTAGGCACTTTGGTAGGATGCCAGTGGGGAACTGTTGAAGCTTTTTGAGTAGTGACTGAGACAGTCAATTCTGCCCTTTAGGAATATCTGGTAGGAGATCCAGCCCTAGCCTTTTCTCTCCAGAGCTTTCTCGGGAAACTGTGCTTCATCTCATAGCAATAAAACAAAAAGGAGAAACAGAGAATAGAATAGATTTACCATTGTTCGAGCAGTTTCTCCAAGAAGGCAAAATTTAGTCACTCTGCTGGATTCTCTCAATAAGCTGAACTGCAAGACAGAGAAAGACTCCAGCACTACAAAGGTCAGTGTTAGTTTACTGGGAAGAGTCCTCCATCTCCAACTCTTCTCTCTTGTCCTACTGCAGAGAGTTGTTTTAAACTTCCACTGTACTAGAAAACTTGGCCCTCCAGTTCTGATCCCACTGCTCCCATAAGAATCTTCTCTTTTTATGCTGAGAAGAAATACAACTGCCAGAGTCTTTGGTGACTTAGGTCTCCTTGCAAAGCAGCTAGGCTAAGGCTTGCCAGAAGGACAATTATATGTACTAAAAATAACCAAGTAGAAACAATAAGATTAATTCCATTAAAAATAACTACAAAATGCATAACACTTGTGAGAGTTAACCTTTTAAGATACACACTAGATTTAGACAAATATGACAGTGTTTACAGAAATAAAAGGATACTTATTGGAGAAATATTCATTTACTCATGATTGGGCTATGGCAACATAATAAAAATTACAATACTGCCTAAATTAATTTGCACATTTTGCTACTCAAATTACTTATGTCAATCTTTAAAATTGGAAAAAAGAATAACAAAATTCATTTAGAAAAGCAAAATCTTTAACATCCCAAGGGACACAATGAGGAAAGAGTAAAAATGGAGATGGCATAGCATTGCCAGACCCCAAATTACATTATAAAGCAATAGTCATCAAAATTATTTGCTACTTGTTTAAAAACCCAACAAGGTACATCAGTGGAATAGACTAAATAAACATGGAACAGAAGCAATCAATAATAGTGACCCAATTTTTCATAAACTCAAGAACATAAATTTACCAGGGGATAGACTTCGTTTTTGACAACAACTTCTGGGAAAATTGTAAAGAAGTATAACAGAAATTCAGTTTAGATCAACAGCTATAACACAATAAACTCAAAATAGATATGACCTGACTGTCATGAACAAAATCAGCAAACAGAACTAAGAGAATAAAATGAGGAAAGCATAAAAGTCTGATATCCAAAATATACAAACATATGAAACTTATGAAATTAAGAACTATTCCCTAGTGAGTTAAAGGATATGAATGGTTTTCAAAAGTGGAGTTACAAACTCTTAAGTGTTGACATAAAATTAACATCAATAAGTTAATGAGCAAATGCTCATTAAGTGCTTAGTGTATACCAGGCATTGAAGTGCTAGAGATACAGAGAAGGAAATGAAACCACTCCTCATTGGGAGGGGCTTACATTCTATCAGAGTAGGAAATGTGTACTTACATAGTATATACAAAATACACACAAGGCAAGAAGACTCATTAGGAGGCTACTTCATTAGTCCAAGCAAGAGTTGATGAAGACCTGAACTAGGGTGTTTGGCTGTAGAGGCAAAGAAAGGGACTAGATGTAAGAGGGTTGTACAAATTTTTAAAAATAATAATAATAGGAAAAATCAATTCTAGAGGAGCTATGGGAAGACAGGCACACTGATAGTTGATTGAGCTGTACAATCATTTTCAATTTCAATTTGGAGTTATGTAAAAAACTTTTTTTTACTAAAGTATCCAAACCCTTTGACCTAGCGATCCCTCTACTAAAAAAATATGCCAAAGGGAAGTTTAAAACAAATACAGGAAAAAAAAGGTCTAATAGATACCAAAATATTCACAGCAATGTTCTTTGTGGTAGCAAAGAATAGAAAACTGGAGTAGCAAAGAAGTAAATGCCCATTGATTGGAGAATGGCTAAAAAATAAAAACAACAATGGGATAGAATGTAATAGAATATTGTTGTATAATTAGAAATTATTAATATGAAAAATTTAGAGGAAATTAGAAGATTTGTAAGAACTAATTCTGGGTGAAAGTAATTGAACAATATACACAGTGACTATAAATTTGAGAATTTTTAAATCACTAAAAGGAAATATAACTCTAAATAACCAAAAAAAAATCAATGAAGGTCCTAGAGAATGGATAATAAAACATACCTAGTCACTTGCAATAGGCAGGTAAGGGACAGTGTTGTCAAGTAAAAAGTTGAGTCTGCAGTAGAGGGTAGGATAAGAAGTGACAGTGATATAAAGACAAAGGAATAAATAAAATGTAGCTTGGTTGTTTTTTTGTTTTTTTTAAAGAGGGCACTGGACCAAATTACTTTTAAGGTTTCTTTTAACCTTAAATCTATTATACTATGTTCCTAATGACAGACGAAAGAGATGTTGTATAGGTAGAATCAATAAGACCTGGCAAGTGATTGGATCTGGGAGGTGAGAAAGAGGGTAGGGAAGATTCAAAGATGCATTAATTCAGTCAAGTCAATAAGAATTTCTGAAGTGCTTACCATGTGACAATCACAGTTTTAAGTGCTGGGGATACCAATACAAGCAAAAAGAGACAGTCTTTGCCCTCAGGTAACTTACATTCTAATTGGGGAAGACCACATATGCTGTAAAAGGGAGCTGAAAAGGGAGAAGGTCAGGGGCATGGCATGGTGGTGAAGTCTAGAGTATGAAGTATGGCTGTCCTGGGCCTTTCCTCAAAATGGAGCTTCCAAAAAGAACTCACCAAGGTGAGAAGGGGCCTACAGGGCAAAGAGAAAAGAGTCGCGGTGGAGAAGTCTGGAGAAAAAATGAAAAAACATTTATTAAACATCTACTATGTATCAAGCATTGTGCTAAGTTCTAGATATGCAAATACAAAAAGAGCTTGTCCTCCCTGAGGAGAAGAGGGGAAAAGTACAAATAGGGCAATGGTGGCCATGGAGGGGTGTTTGGATTTGGAAAGGTACGATGAGTGGGGCCATGGGAAAGTTGATTGACACATTCTTTCCAGAGTTGGAAAGCTTAGGGAGGCAGGGGATTAGGACAAGGTTGGAGGGAAGACACAGTAATAAGCAGGGCAAATAGCAAGAAAATACCCAGAGCAAAATATGAAGCATGGCTGAGACTAGCTAAATATCATGTGACATATTCACCAGTCAGGCTAGAAGGATGATTCCTTAAGCCTAAGTGATTGGAAGATGGTAGTATCCTCAATAGAAACAGAAAGTTTAATGAGGGATGATTTTGGCAGGGACATAATGAGTTCTGTTGTATGGGAATTCAGGTGAATACATGTAGTAGGCAGTTAGTGACGCGCGTGGAGTTCAGGAGGAGGTTTAAGGCTGTCTGTATAAATTTAAATTTAGAAGTCATCTGCATAGATATGGTAACAAACTATGGGAGCTGATGACATCACCAAGGGAAATAGGGTAGAGAAAGGAAAGAAGAACATCTAGGAAGAAGGTGGGAGTCGACCCCCATTGAGAGGAAAGAAGTAAGAGGATAATCCAGAAAAGGAGGCTTGGAAGGAGTGGTCAGACAGGAGGAATGCCAACAGAGAACGATATCATGGAAGCTAAGGGCAGATGGAGCACCCAGAAAAGAGCGGCTGACAGATGGTCAGAGAAATCCCTCGCAAAAACTCTGACTTGTAATAAATCGCATTTTGTGGTATATGTACACGCATACACATATGCACACACATACATATACAGGCATATACACACATGCATACACATATGCACATATACACACATACATGCACGTGCACACACAAACACACACATTCCACTCCAAAATATAAAGAGAGTAAATATAAAGAGTGTAAAGGCTGTTTAAAAAGAAGATAAAAAGCAGCCTTGAAAGGAATGAGAGGCCACAAGAGGTCCTACAGCCTGAGGGTTATATGTGGAAGGTTAGAGGAAGAGTTGTTGCCAGGTATCTATTTCCAATCCCTCCCTATTCCCTGCCTGGTTTTTTGTTTTGGTTTTTGCCCTTTGCCAGTTCAATATGCCGGTGGTATTTTTTAAATTTTAACTTTATTTTTTGCTACATTTTAAGTTCCAAACTGTCTCCCTTCCTCCCTCCTCACCCTGCACTAGAAAAGGCTACCATTTGACCCAGAGACAGATAGAGAGACAGATAGATAGATAGATAGATAGATAGATAGATAGATAGATAGATAGATAGACAGACAGATAGATAGATAGACAGATAGATAGAGTTAGATATATAAATCTATACTATATTAAAGATATATATATATACAAAACTATAAATAGATGGTAACATCTATTTAGCAGTTCTTTCTCTGGAGATGGATATCATCTTTCTTCATAGGTCCTTTGTAGTCAACTTGAGTATTCATAATACTCAGAATAACTTGGTTGTTCACAATTATTCTTTGAACAATATTGCTATTACTGTTATATGACATTTTCTTGATTCTGCTCATTTCACTCTTCATTATTTCATATACAAGTCTTTCCATATTTTTCTAAATGAACTAAAAGAACTAAAATGAACTAGCTTGTCATTTCTTATAGCATAGTTATTAGTCATTATGGCATTATAGCATTCCATTACAACCATAAACCACAACTTCATTCTCCAATTGATGGACAAACCATCATTTTCCAGTTCTTTGCTACCACAAATAGAGATGCTATAAATATTTTAGAACACATAGGTTATTTTTCTTTTTCCCTGATCATCTTGGAAAACAGACCTAATAATGGTATTGCTGGGTCAAAGGGTATACACTGTTTTATAACTCTTTGGGCACAATTCCAGATTGGTCTCCAAAGTGGTTGGATCAGTTCACAGTTCTACCAACAGTGTATTAGTGTTCCAATTTTTCCATATCCCCTCCAACATCTGTCATTTTTCCCATCATTTTGGCCAATCTGATTAGTGTGAGATGATATCTTGAAGTTGTTTTAATTTGTATTTTTCTAATTAATTGTGATTTAGAGCATTTTTTCATATGACTATACATAGTCAGTGATATTTTTAAAAGATCACTGGAAAATAGGAAAAGTATCCTAAGATTATAGAAGGGCAAATGTCCCAATTTTCAAAAAATGGGGAAAAAAACATTTCCTATAAGCTATCGTATTGTCCCATAAACTTGACTTTGATCCACAAGAAAACTCCAGAAAGGATCATTAAAGAGGTGGTCAATAAGCACCTAGAAAGGGGAGTTGTAATTATAAAGAGACAGCATGACTTTATCAAGAATAAGTCATGCTGGGCTAACTTCATTTCTTTCTCTTTTTTTGACAAAAT